TAAGATTTTAACAACTCTGAGCTATTAGTTAAGTTCTCCCCAAGCGAGCTCGATGGGCCGAATGGCCTCCTCTCGTTTGTATATTTCTTATGTTCTTATGTTCTTAAGTTGAACATGGGGAAAACAATTTCTCTAAGTGCAGCTCACACATAAATTAATAGCATTTTAACAAAGTTAATTGATGTACTAGATTGGAAATTGATGGAACTTTCTGGATTAGCATGCAGGATAAACTGGAGTTAATCCCCTAATAGCTGCTTACCCCTTGCTGGGTTTTAAAGCACCAGCGTTCCACCAGGTCTGTCGTCTTTATATACAAATACTGTGTGCAGCCTATGACTTTTTACACAATTCAGATGGAAGGACACAGTGCTTGGTCAAGAGCACTGGAAATACAGGTAGCAAACCCTCAGCGGGGCCCTTTCCCAGACCCAATTGGTCTCCTATGTACAAATTCAGTTAACCATCTTCAAAGAACAGCGATCCAAAATGAATTATTCATTTTATTTAAATAGGGACGCAAATCACTGGCAAACACATTATACCAGTACAGGAAGCTTTTAAAATTACTCATATGCCATTACAGTTGTCCTCTGTAGTCATCCTCTAGCTTTACCAGCTGCTGATTTACACTTGAATGGCAAACATTGCAATAAATCGTCTGAACACAGAACATTTAAATACATTGCTCACGCCGTTACATATATATTCAATAAAACAATTTTGACTTACAGTACTCAGGGAAATGCTGTAAATGAAACTATTATAACAGCAAGCTGCATTATCTTGCATTAAGGGGATTTTTTTTTCAAACTTAAATCGGTGCACGGAACTCTTAAGGCTTTTACACACGATCAATCTTTTTCATTATAAAAAAAGCTGAGCAAACTCGAAATGGTATTTTATTGATATTAACATGACAAATGAACAAAAGGGCCCGATTAATTGCTCCTTTTAAATACTCAATTGAGGTGTTTTTCCGTTGCGATTCCTATTTACTTTCTTGCTCCTTAAAATATTCAAAGAACCTCGGACTACAAAACCCATGTGCAAAGCTGAACTACTACGTGGGGCACAAAGGCACAGTTCATTCATGCGTGCCGTGCAGCTGGTGTACAGATCCAATCGCCTTAGAAATGAATGCAATATACATGAACAAAACGGAACAAGCAAACACGCTTCCGTTTTCTGTTCCGTTTTGTTTCCAGTTCAGAGGTCAAGAGGGAGGAGCTCCACCATGCGGCACCTTCAGTAGAGTCGAGCCCCATAGCCAAACGTCTGTTTGATGGCGTCGAAGTAATACCGCTGCCAGCCGGCTTTGGTCCTGTCCTCCTCGTTCACCGGCACACCCGTGCACTCCAGCTTCAGCTCTGTCTCGCCTCCACGCTCCACAAGATATATGGTGATAGTGGCATAGTGCTCTGAGGGAGATGGGCAGGGCTCTCAGTGTGTGCAAATGAATGGTCCGCATAAAGCTCTGAGGGGTACTAAAACGGGAGTACGACACAGTGCCATCATCTAGACCTTGACCCAGATTGTGGGTGAACCCCCCAGCGAAATATCATGGGGGAATTTAATCATGTGACTTGGCCATAGTCCTAGTCAGTGGTAGCACATGAATGAGGTGCTGATTACTTTGATAAGTCACACAAAATTATGCTTTTAATAAAGGCTGGGGAGAGTATGTCAGCCAAGATGACAGAATAGCGTTGCTTTTGAAGTACAAGATATGAAAAATCTGACACCACCCAAGCCTAGTGTAGAGGGGAGATGGGGTGGACCGAGGAATACATTATTATAATACTGATATAATTGTAATCATAATTAGATGCTAATTCAAGTTTGAAGGTAAAGCACAAAGCTAGGCTCAGTGTGTATACAGAGAGGGTTCAAATAAAAATGTGACTAGGTGCGATAACCCAGCAGTGTTAAACAGATAATTACGCAGACCCTTAATTATGACTGAGTATACTATTGGAAAATGACCACCTACCACTAGGCCACGTCTTAAACCGCCATTTCATGACAATCTTCTCATCTGGAACCTGGAAAATATTGCATCTTTTGGTTCTTGTTGGTCAAGTAAAGCCATTACAAATCAAACTATAATCAAAAGTACAAACTCTTAAATGATAGGAAGTCTCTCTCTTACCAACTCCTTGAACTCTCCACAGACATTCCCATCCAGCAGACGAAATTTCCCTCCTTTGTCACCGTTGACCATGGCTGGCCCATGAGTAAATGCCTGCACCATCTACAGACAAGGGAGGAAAAAAATAAACACATGAACCTGACTGAAAGATAAGCTAATAAACATTCTACATACATGGTTACAAGCACCTCTAGCTAGAACAACAATGATTTATTCCTGGAAAAAAGAAAAGAAAAAAAAAAAAAAAAAAAAACACGACGACAACTCCCAATGATAGCTTTCATTTAGAAATGCACTCCAGGATTACTGTGATTCTTTCCCCAACTCCATTCAAGAAAGTAGTGCTTATTCTCCCTTTATGCTAAACTTCACACTACATGCTTTTAGCTCCAGCGCTCTGCTTGCAGACAATTTTTAGAGCCAACAAAACCCTCAGATTGAAGACCAATTGGTGTTTGATCAGCACTGGCAAAATCGGCACTCGATCTGTATGCTTAAACTGTTCAAAGACAACCCGATGAAGTTGCCAATGCATCACAGATGCCCATTAGATATCTCGCAGGCTAAATATCTGGACTCCAAATCCTGTAGTGTGAAATGTGTTGTGACTGACAATGAGCCCATGAGAGCGCAAGACAGAAGGTGAGGCAAAAGTCAAGGGAGGAATTTCAATAGGTGTGTTCCCATCGTGAGTGGCGAGAGCGTCAAAGTAATTGGAAGCCATTCATTCTCTATGGGAAGGCACGTCACCAGGCAGAGAAGAGCAGTATGGTGTGTTGCATCGTGGATTTGGGCAGTGAGAGCATGGTAATGAGCTATGATGCAGTTCGGCGACAACCAATTGGAATGTAGAGATGCTCCACTAAAGAGTTCCACAGAACACGAGCATGTAAACTTTTGTTCTGACCAAAAAGTTCCCAAGCACCATCGGGGTATAAACTGTGAGAATATGTCTCCACCCTCTAGACATGGTAAAACATAACTGTGTTTAGGCAGCATAAAACTATGCTTTAAAGAAAAAAAAAAAAAGGACATATGCATTTTTATACCCCGCCAGCCAGTGTTAATTTTGACTGCAAATTTATTTAGTTTTAGTCAGTCTTTTGACTAAAATGTAATTTAGTTTGTCATCTAAATTATTTTAGTTTTAGTTGACTAAATATCATAAGATTAGTCAACTAAAACTACAGTTGATTTAGCAGACTAAAATGAAGTATAAAATGTAATGTTTAAAGTTTCCCTTTGATGTCAGAAAGTCATTATGTTCACCAAGATGAAATGAAGCCAATGTTAAGGGATGGTATTAAGGTCTGACTGTGCAGTACACAAAGACACAGATTTCACTCTTATTTGAAACACAAACTTATGTTTATTTATCCCCTCCTGGAGCAGACACCTTATTGTGGTGGAGGAGTTTGCGTGTTCCAGTGATCCCAGGAGCTAAGTTGCCCGGGGCTTTATGCCCCTGGTAGGGTCACCCAAGGCAAACAGGTCCGGGGTGAGGAACCAGACGAAGTTCGGCTCAAAAGACCCCATATGATGAGAAAAATATTGGAAACACGTTTTCCCTTGCCCGGACGCGGGTCACCGGGGCCCCCCCCTGGAGCCAGGCCTGGGGGTGGGGCTCGATGGCGAGTGCCTGGTGGCCAGGCTTATACCCATGGGGCCTGGTCGGCACA